TGTGTGTGTGTGTGTGTGTGTGTGTGTGTGTGTGTGTGTCTGTGATAATAAGCATGATGACCAGAAGCAATGTGCATAGGAAAGGCTTTAATTCATCTTCTGCCATGGAAGCCAGGGCAAGAACTCAACCAAAGAAGCAGCTTAAAGCAGAGACCATGGAGGATGCTACTCACTGGCTTGCACCTAAGCTCACATGCAGTTATTTTCCTTACAAGACCTGATGCCCAGGGATGGCACCACCCACAGTGGTCTGGACCCTCTGACATCAATCAATAATGAATAAAATACCACACAGACACACCCACACACTAATCTGATGGATGCAATTCTTCACTTGAGGTCCCCCTCTTCCTCATACACATACATGGGTGTGTCAAGTTGACAACTGAGATGAAGTATCACAGTAGTGCTCTCTTCACTGTCTCTTGTATGCACTAAACATGTTTAGTTTTGGTATCACACTCCCCTTGTGATGCTGAACCTTAGTGTTTATACTCTTTTTGTTGTATTCGTCTTCATAGAATAAGAAATGTGGGGTCTGTGCTTCTCTCTGGGTCACACTTGGTCATAACATCTCAGTAGAGTGGCTCACCACCTCCTCCTGCACTGAGACTTAATAGCTGTCTACCCTGTCCTTTGTGCATCAAAGGCTTCCATCTGTAAACTGAAGCCCTACCTTTCCCCTAGAACTAATGCTAAAACTTTGGTTGGGGGAGCACAGTGATTAGCCAAGTGCTCATTCTCCTATGTCAATACAGCCTCTTTCACCATTAAGACACAAGGACTCCAAAGGATGACATTACTTGACTTCTGGAGTGTGCAGAGATTTACAAAGCTAAAGCAATTGGGGTGGTGCTGTATCAGAGGGACTTGTTCTATAAAGAGAAATTTATGAACAGGGTCTTCCATCTCATAGCTTTGTTCCCTGCCCTTCATACTGCAGGAAGCTTGTGGATGGACAATAAGCATAGGTTAAAGTCACTGGCCAGAACCTGGGGTGTGGGCTCTCCTTTGTTAAGAATCAAAAATGTTGAATGAAAAATGGCTTCAGCAATGCTTTTGCCTTTATGTTTTAAAATAGATCATATTCATTGTGGATCGAGACGGATGTGGCAGCAAGTTTTATCAGCTAAAGAATACAGCTGTCTATCCCCTGGTTGCTAAAATATGATGTTGTCTGTTTCTCAGGCCCTGAAGGATCCCACCTTGGCTGCCAGGAAGGATTTCCAGAGGGAGGCTGAGCTGCTCACTAACCTACAGCATGAACATATTGTCAAGTTCTATGGGGTGTGTGGTGATGGGGACCCACTCATCATGGTCTTTGAATACATGAAACATGGGGACCTTAACAAGTTCCTCAGGTAAGCAAGAATGGACAGCATCTGCCCCCCAGAGTCCCACTGAGCCTTTGGGGTTTTCTCTGTGGTCAGAAGTCATACTTGCCACTGTGAAATCAAGCCTGAGGATAACAAATGAAAAGAATTGCCCTTCTTTTCCTTCTTCCATCTTATCTATCATCCATCTATCTGTCCATCCATATCTATCTATCTTTCTATCTCTATTTATCTATATCTATATGTCATCTATCTCAACCTCTATCTTTCATCTACCTCTACCCATCTATCATCTATCTATCTATCTATCTATCTATCTATCTATCTATCTATCTCCATCTATCATCTATACCTACCTATGTGTGTCTATCTTTTATCTCTATCATCTGTCTATCTCTATTCATCTATCATCTATGTCTATCTATCTTCTATCTCTATCTGTATCTATCATCTATCAATCAATTTATCATCTATCTATCTATCTATCTATCTATCTATCTATCTATCTATCATCTTTCTACCTGTCTATCTCTGCCATCTCCCTCTCTAATCTATTCATCCATCCATCTATGTTCTGGGTTTTCAGGTGTGCACTCCCATGGCTTGTTTTTTGTGGTGTTGAGTATGTTACTTAGGGCTGTATGTTTAGTAGGCAAGTACTTTACTAGCAGAGCTACATCCTAACCCTTTCATTTTTGTGTGCTGCCTCCTTCCAGCTGGACTTAGGTTTTTGTATCCATGGTGAGACATCTGTACTTTTCTTCTTGCCTCCCAGATGGATGGAGAAGGCCTGAGATATATCCTGTGAGGATCTCAGGTTGAGACTCACAGCCCTGGTTTTAGGGTTACCTGTTCTCTTAACCCAATGCAGCTAATATCTTAAGTATCTCACTTGCCAAGTGAGATTAGTATGTTACAGCCTTAACCTTCCCCAGCCCAGAGACTTTTTGATGATGAATGTGAAGTTGTCAAATTATAAACTCATCAGAAATCCGAGGTAAATTGACAAATAAAGGGCATTTTTTATTCACGTAAATTCTACTTGTCAGCATTCAGACTTTGAAAAAGGAAAGGGAAGAGTCAGACGTGGCTAGAGTCTTCAGATCTCTCCTTATGAGTCACATTTCCAAATAACCTCCCTGGAGATACTGAGAAAACTCACTGGATCCTCTAAGTCTCTGGAACTTAAATTCATAATGAAGTTGATTCCTGGAAAATTTAATCCTTAACATAAGAGAAATGGGAGTTTACCTTAATTATAAATGGATCAAGTTATGACTGCTTCATGGAGTTGCTAGAAACATTGCATGGCAATGTGTATATAATGCCTGGATGCATTTTGCATGCAGCTAGGTACTGAACCAATGGAGGCTATTGTAAAAGTCACTACTACTATTATTGCATTATAAAAGCTATGAATCAAATGTGTCTAGGTGATACCCTATCTCAGTATGCAGAATCTCCCTCACCTTGTACTTCCACTCATCTGCCCTATTTTGCATCCTAATTCATCCTCCAGAGATACAGCTGATTCTCTAGTTCCCAGTGCAACCTGAAGGGCTCAACAAAGCTCCCAGCTCCCGTGTATCTTTGCATACCAATGAAAGATGACGAATACAAAGCAGAGGAGAGAGAAAGGGGGAAAAGAAAGAGTAAATACTAAGGCAGGAGAAACACAAACATATAAGAAAAGAAAACACAAAACAAAAGAAATAGTTTCTTACCATTGTGACTGATTACTTGACAAGAGGCCACTTGAGGACAGGGGGATTGATTTTGACTCACCGTTTGAAGGGATGCAGTTTGTCACAGTTGAAGATATGGCACTGGCACCTGAGGTCATATCATATCTGTAATAAGGAGTAAGAGAGTTTGGACCAGAAGGAGTTTGGATTATTAATTGTAGGATATCCCCACACCAGTGACCTGCCTCCTCTACCAAGGGTTTGCTTCTCAGGGATTCCTCACCTCCTAGAAAAGCTCCATCAGTAGAGATCAAATATTCAGACACATGAGTCTCTGGAATCATTTTATATTTGAGCTGAAGTAGATATACATGGCAAGAAACTGTGTCTTGACCCTGAAGGTCATTTCTGTCTGCTACCATGTCTCCTGGATGCTGGAGTTTGGGGCTAATTGGAGTGTAACCTGGTATACTAGAGTGGGAACTGGCCTCCTGATGCATCCCTGGCTAGCTGATGCAGCTGCTTTGCTAAGGAAGGAGGGGGCTAAAGCCCACCCAAGATAATAAACAGAATGTGTTCCTATTTAATGGTGCCTTTCAGTGGAAATTGGAGAAGCAGTAAAGCAGGCTGGGGCCTTGATGTACACCAGGGCTTGTTGGTCCTCCACTTCATAAATAAGGGCCCCGTGGTGTGGTTACGGCTCATTGGGCTTTCTTTAGGAAAGAGTGAACACTAAAATGACCGATCCGACAGGGCAGGGTGTTATCATAACCCAGACAGGCTTGAATTTAGCATGGAGGGAGTGTTGAGCTCCCAAGGAGTCAGAGGGTTTCTTCGCCCTGCCTTGCTTTTGGTGCTGTAGAGCATGGAGCAAGCATTACACCACTTACAGCTGGGGGCTGTAGACTGCTTGTCAGCAGCATGGGCACTGGGAGCTTGTCAGAAATGCAAATGAAGGAACACCGCATAACCAATCAGAACCTCAAGGGTTGAGCCCTTAAGATCACCTTAAAATCCTGCTTGATGCCCCTTTTGGAAGCTTCTGCAGGACTCTCCTTCATAGTCATAGATAATAAGTCACACTATGTCTCTTGACTACCATATAACTATTCTGAAATATCAAGGACTTTGGTTGAGCTTTCTAATCATGTTGTGCCTCAACTTTAAAAAAAAAAAATCATGGTAGGAAGATTGAATGAATGTATTTAAAACTATCAGAAAAGCACTTGGCATACACACATAGCAAGGGTCAGTAATTGCTTTATTAATTATTCTAATCACCTCGCACCTGGGAAGAACCAAGGTGGTAGTTAGTGAAAGAGAACATTTGTTCCATGTGCCATTTGAATATGTCTGTGCTATCTTAGTGGGGATCTTGTAGTTTCACCTATGCCCATACTCATTTACTATCATTTGGGTAGATAGAAACAGGCATGGGCAGCCTGGAAAGGGAATTTCCTTCATTTCTGCAGGACATTCCAGTGCACTGAAAGCCACCAAGACTTTGCCTTTGATCTGTTGAGTTCTCTCTGCTCCACTTTCCTTTCCCCCTCCTTGCAGGGCCCATGGGCCAGATGCGATGATCCTCGTGGATGGACAGCCACGCCAGGCCAAGGGGGAGCTAGGGCTCTCTCAGATGCTCCACATCGCCAGTCAGATAGCCTCGGGCATGGTGTACCTGGCCTCTCAGCACTTTGTGCACCGGGACCTGGCCACCAGGAATTGCTTGGTTGGAGCCAACCTACTGGTGAAGATTGGTGATTTCGGCATGTCCAGAGACGTCTACAGTACCGATTACTACAGGGTAAGGAGACTTTCCCAGCTGCAGGACTCAGTTGCTGAGCTAGTCCCTTGCTTACATGTCTGTCATTGTCCATTAACCCTGTCACTATGGTGCACATGTATGCACACGCATGCTCACATATGCACTCAACAGTTATCTTTCAGCCACTCCTGCATCTTGGCATATCAACTTATTATTATCACTGCAGGTCATTCCTCCTTCCTCTTTGACATTAAGCTGGACTCTGTCTATACATTGCAATAGCCTGCACATTATGTTCTTACTGAATCACTGTTCATTCTTTATGCAAACAGAGTTGAATACCTATAACTGTATGTTCAAGTGCACACTCAGACAGTCTAACTTGGTGCTCTGTCAATATTCCAATCCATCTCCTGCTCTAGCCTCACTCACAACATGTTTTATTCTCTGAAATTATCTCATGAATATGTGAGAGTGATCTTGTTTCCAAAGGTAAATCTTCCTGGAAAGTGGAACCCAAAGTAAACTAGAAGTGGTTAGCACACTGCTAAACACAATCCTACTGGCTTTGGCAAAGTAAGAAAATAAAACATCTTGTCAATTTCGGGCTATGGAAAAAAACATGACCCTAGAAAAAGCTGATTGTGAGGAAGTTTCATTTGCATACAGTTATGTATCTCTTACTACAAGATCTTATTTTCATTTGTGAGGAATCTCCACATTATAGAACATTGAGTTTTTCTATATTATGATGATTATAGCCAGGCTAAAGGTGAGTGGCCATGAATGTCACTTTTCCTAGAAAGAGAAACATAGGTACAACTTGATGCCCTTGGATGGGGGATGGGGTCGTGTCTGCAAACTGATTGGGACACAACTCCTGCAATAAGGAAGATTTATGTTGCCCATAGTGGCACTCACATATAATCTCCAGGGTTGGGAGGTTGAAACAGGTGGATCTAGAGTTTAAGACCAGTCTACACAGAGATACCTTGTCTCAGAAAAAAACAAGAAGGAAAAAATGTTCAAATATGGAAGACTTATTGTGAGCATTTTGACTAAAGGAGAAGTTTAGATTTCAGTGTAGGAAACAGGAGGACAATATTGTAGAGCAGACAAAGTCCTCATCTGTGGCACTTGAACAAAATACCACAAACCATGACACTTATGCAAGAATAGTTCTCAAAGTTCCAGAGGCTCAGGCAGCTTCCATGTCTGGGGAAGGCTGGATCCATGCTTCATAAATGGTCTTCATGTTGTGTTCTCCTATAGTAGAAAAGAAAAGACAAAGGGTCTTCCTAAGGTCCCTCAGGTGAGATCACTAAGTCTGATGAAGGCTAATGATCTAATGACCTCTAAAGAATTCTATATCCAGTCTTGCTCCTAATATCATTACCTGCCCATTTTTTCTCTATGCACTAAATGTTTGTTTTAGCTTGGGGACTAAAGAAACATAAGCTTTCAGTTCATAGTAGTCATGGAAGGAAACAAATTATCACATTTGTGAAGTGTGATGATCATGTTGCCTGAGTTCTGTAAACCAGGTGGCTGGAATTTGGGCCTAGCAAGTACATATATACTTGTTAGATTTATTTGGATGCTCCTGGTGACTTCGTGATGCATGATTGATCCCTCAGGTATGGATACTGATTACCCGAGGAACTTCACTTTAGTAACAGTGCAGAAGAAAGTAGAATGTTTTTGAAATGCATTTTACGACTGCAGGTTGTCTTGCATGGTTCAACCAAAGGATGGCAAATGATGTACTATCATGAGTACACAGGAGACAAAATAAACCAAAGCTGGAGAAAGCAGAGTGTCCCCAGCTCACTCACCCACCCTACCAAGTATCCCCAGATATAGGAAAGGGAGCATGGTGTAGCATACCCACAGGCTGATAGTCAGAGAAGACCTATAGGGATGTGCCACAGGCTAGTCTTCAGCATTTGGACTCTTCTCCCCACCAGGCATGTCCAAAGCCTGGATAGGGTTAGTAAGCAGGTGCATGGGTCACAGAGCCCAGCTGAAGTCATTTAATTGCCTTCCACTCTATATAGTAGGGTCTTCTGTCTTGCCTGGCTATATTTAGATCAACAGTGGTTCTGATGAAAATAAGGGATGGCTTACTGTTTTTTGTTTGTTCTGTGCAGGGAAGATATTTAATTATAATTTATTGGTTTCTATGGACTATATCAGGTCTTAGGAAAACCATATCAGATCAGAATATCCAAGCTGAGCTTTGAAACTGGATTCTCTGGTACATTTAATATTTCTTCTTTGGTTTAAATGCTAAAAAAAACAAACATAAAAAAGAGCACTATCCAAATGGCATGCCTTAACTCTTGATTTAGGAGTCATTTGTTCTACTCTTATTCCTGGCAAAGCATCAAGGAGTAAACCCATTGCATTTCTTTGGAGGTCAGGACAGATTTAAGAAAATGAAGTCAATGGGAATTGTCCACAGTCCAGGTATCTTGAATTCTCTCTTCATGAGCTCCAATCAGGCTGTTAGCTGAGGCTAGATGACTTGAAAATGTGTATCTTTGGTTCCAAAGAAGTACGAAATTAGGAAGGATAGCTTTGATTGAAAATTCAGCACTGCCGGTGTGTAAATCTACAGTGGCCACACTCAAAGATCAGATTGACTCAATACTTGTTTACTCACAATGCCTTGATGTATGCTTTCACCCCAACCCCAAATCTTTTAAAAAATGAAAGACAGGAGTATGTATGCCTGAGGTCACAAAAATGTCCCTAAAGTCTTATCAACTTTGGAAGACATTAGCATTACTAAAGAATTCTTGGATTTGGAGCTAGTGTCAGCTATGTTCACTCTCTAATGTTTAGCTACCATCAGCACCATGTGCTCAATGCCTCTGTTCAATTTTCTTATGTTGAAAATTAGGACAAAAATATTTACTCAGTGGAGGTATGTTTATGTTAAGCAAGTTAGTTTGTGTGAAGAGCCTGTAATGCAATACTTACTAGACAAACTATTGCTCTTACTGTCTCCTCAGCACTCCTCACACCCAAAACAAGAACACTGTGGAGATAGTCTCATTCCCAGATGGGATTCTTGGATCAGAAAGAGAAACTCCTGACCACTGGAAAATAAACTAGGCTCATAGAGCTGCCCCAAGAGAGTAGGATTAAGACAATCACTTCAAGGAAAATTCCTTTCCAAGGTTTCAACTTCCACAGAAACTGTGGGTCATCGGCATTGCCCTTCTGGCCAGCATTTATATGTTCTTGCTTCCAAATCACAGAGCTATGTCTATGTTTGAGAGATTTATGTAAGACTTTCTTGTTCAGTATACACTGGCTAAGGCCCCAAGGAATGTGGTGATTTATCAGATAGACTGAACACCACGAAGGATGCTCTCTGTAACCAGGGTCAAATTTGCACCACTCTACTATCCTTGATTACTAGGACTGAGAACTGCTTACTACTCAACTTGCTTACTAATGTAAGCAAATGCAGATAATTTAGGTGTGTATGTGTGTGCTCCAGTGTACAAGTTCTCATTCATGGGTGTGTCTGTGTGAATGTATGTGTCCATCATCCTGGGCTGGCTTGCTCTGTAAAGATTCTAGTGTGTACACAGAAGGTCAGGAGAAGAGGCAAAGATAAGTTCTTTCTTATATTTTTCCCTTTTCATTTTTAATTTCTTAAAACAAGGAGGCACCATCTGGCTCATACATAAGTTGTATGCAAATGATTTACAAAGGTGAACTGCCAAATTTCCTATTACACATTTAGATTGAAAAAACAAACATTCCTGTATCAAAGCAGAGGGGCAATTTCTTCTCTTCTCACAATGGACTGGATGGCAGCCACCTTTTCCTCCCGTGGCTCATTGATGCTTCCAAGAGTGCCTGTAAATGGGCTTTGACAAAGGCTAGTTTGCAGATACCATACTTTTCCTCCCGTGGCTCATTGATGCTTCCAAGAGTGCCTGTAAATGGGCACAAAGGCTAGTTTGCAGATACCATGGGTCCTTTCTTAGATCTTCAGAGAACTCAGAGAGATTGGTGATCAGATGTAAAGTTAAATAAAATTTCAGACATCCTGAAGAGGTGCAGGTTGGGACTCCAGAGTAAATATATTTTCAGGTGTGTTTATTAGGGAAGGGGGAAGTTCACTGAGATCGGGAAGGGATAGGTGTGGCAGGGAGAGATGCTGTGATCCAGAGAACCCAAATGGTGTCACTCTGCTGTCCCCTGTACTTAACCTCCTGCTGGCACTTAGTAGAGTTAACAAAATCATCAGTGAATAGGAAATATGTGTGTTTGAGATTAAGCAGGAACTAGATTAGATCAGACCAGGAGCCCACGGGCAATCAGATAGCCCACTGTGAAGTGATCCTTTGGAAATCACGATCAAGCCTTTTCTAAACAAGTCAATGCAGCATCTGGGAAGAATGTCCTGAGGAGGCAGGCCAGTAGTGATCTGGATCATCTAAGTCTAGCAAGTGTACTTTAGGTTAGAAGTACCTAAAATAGGTCTGATAGCTAGGTTCTAAGCTGAGGGCTCTGAGACCACATTCTCAGCAACTCTTGTACATGTTAAGAATAGTAATCTTCAGAACATGGAAATAATTTAGGGCAAGATGATCTGGTGGTAGAATACTTCATTATATGGGGGTCACAGTACTCTTGGCAATGATGAAAATGTTAGGCTTTTCTGTTTGAATCACTGTTCCTAAAATTCCTGTCTTTGATCTTAGGTAAGTTATTCATCCTTTTCGTGTCTCCAACTAAAATGGGGGCAAATAGGCCATAACTCCTGTATTTGCTATAAAGATTCCAAATATATATATATATTTGCACAATATTCCAATACAGATAGAAACTCATTTCCAGGTCACACAGTAGTATCTACAGGTGAATTTTCTGGAGACATAGCACTGTCTTGCAGGCCAACAGAGATCTGCACTTTGCCTTAGTTACCCTAATCACTGTGCCTTTGTAGACAGCTGGAATGGAAGAGGGACATAGAGTAATGTTATTAATGAACATGGACCAGCTATGGGGTCATC